AACAAATTTGTCAAACCAAATGACCAATCTGTTTGTCATGACGTCTCAGAATTAAGAACAACCTCATTCATGAGTATGTAAATGTATGTAAATGTTAAAATCTTATATAGCCAATTTCAAAAGGGAGGTGGGGAACTTTTTTAAAGGGACCATTGGCAAATTGGGATGCATGAATCCTTGGTTCCAAAGAAATTAAAAACACTGGCACATTTGAATGTCTTCTTGATTGAAAGAAACCATACTCACGACTACTGGAACACTGCAGGGGGCCTAAGGACAATGTGCCTTTGGTTGTTCCATGGACATATGTTTGTACCTTGTAGAACTGCATACTGGCAATGGGCAATGATGGCATATTGGTGATGATACCCTGGTCAACATTCCATCTTAAGAAAGGAAGACAATTACATTTCTATCACAGTTAATGTGTCATTTTTTGTTTTGGATGTGTAAATTTGATACATATGCTTAACAGTGTACCAAACATTCAAATGCATTAATTTTTTAAGAGGTCTAAACTGAGATTTTAAAGGAGAATTTTCTGTGGCATTTTGTATCTAATCAACCATGCCTTACTTAGACAACTTCATGCATGTCCAGCTATTAGAAAAGACAAGTAAATTGAGCGAGTGTAGGACATGCGCCTGTGACATGTTCCTCCTGAGTTCCATGCTTTCAATACCTTGAGCCTGCCTCACACCTGTCCAAATTTGACTGGCTCACTAGACAAAAAGGCCATCATAAAAACAGACAAGCGAGCTTTGCTCTCAAATATTGGACCAATCTGACTGTACACCAGGTAACCTGATGAACTCATACATGCTAGAGTTTTTCCACATCTGATATTTTACTGAATGTCATTGCAAATGTCTACCGGCAGCACTCTTACTCCTACGGATATGATATTTATGTTAACCAATCAGATTCCCAAAGGAAGTCGCATAATTCCAAACAGAAGCCATCGCATGCATGGCCTCCATGTACCAGTAGCCGGTCAGCATTCACCAGATTAGCAAGGGGTCAATTATAAAAACAGATGGGAACTGAGCATGCGTGAGGCGAAGTTGTAGTTTACCAGAACAATGACAGAACTGCCCAGTGATGTGTGCTGAACTAGTAAAATTGGAAAGTTGTGCAGCAGGCTTTAAGCTTTGGGACTCCTGTACGAAGTATTGAAAGTCCCCAATTTCTAAACAAGGCAGTACCAAATCAACAACCAAAGCCAAGAGACAAGCAGCAACATTTGGCAACATCTTGAATTCTACGCCCTTGCCAAGTACCACAATCATAGTGTAGCAGCGGTTAGTATCCATATTTACACCTTTGATATGAAGTTACTTTTAGGGTGTTGTATTTAAACAAATCCTTGGTTTCACCACAAAGTGACTTATTGTGAATAGTTGCTGTGCCACGAACTGATGTGTCATCTGTACAAATTCTATGGATGGTACATCACTTTGTGGCGCACCAAAACTATCCAATACGCCACTTCGTGGTGAAACTGGTGAAATAATGAAAGAATAATCTCATGAGTTGACAGAGTGTTCCATTCCATAGGGCAAAATGAGGCAAGCTTCACTTCATGGGATAGTACACGTCTTTTACACAATGAATAGAGTAAACCATATAAATCCCGGCTCATCATGTACAAGTTGCCATTTTCCTTTCTCAGACTGGCATAAAATTGAGACGACAGTTTCTAAATTCCAAATCAGCAAATGTTTCAAAACACATTGCTAGGTGCTTGAAATTATGCTCAATTTCCTTTCACACTGCTCTTATAATTATAGAGGTTCTGCATGGCAGCCATCTTTATGGTAACTGCTTTTGTCGCAGAGGAATAGTACAAAGGTCTACTCATGTGTATCCCTGTGGAACAAAAGCTCTTACAGGAAAAATGGCTGTCACACAGAACTTCTATTGTTTCTTCTTCAGTAGAAAGAAGAATCAGTGCTTCATTGCTATTACTGAATATTGTAAGTCTCATCAAGACACTTCAAGACTAGTCTCATCATTTTCTGAAATGTGAGGGTATTAAAAGAAAAGTTAATCTAGCACTGACAAAAAGAATTAAATAACATGCAATGTTTGGCATGTATTTTGTAGTACACTACACATTACGTCATGTTTTAATTAAGGATAAGGTCTTAGTCTTGGAACTCCAGGTCTAGGCCTTGGATCATCTGGTCTTGACTACAACACTGACTTTTATCACTAGCCACTTGCCACTGTGTGTAAAGATGACAGGGATTTATTCAGTTGTGTTATGATGCTTAACAATTACTGAATGTTTCACACTGTGCCTACTGTCCATAAATCTTACCATTTAGTCATTAGTGCATTCACAAACTTACTCTTTGGCATTGAGGTCACAGTGAGTAACAAATGGTAGGTTGTAGTAACGAAGTCTCCTGCCAGCAGCACTGTGCAAAGCTGTCCATCCCCTTCTGACACTAAGAATGATAGAGTATCATTGCATCAGTTAAACCTCTCACCATGTAACAGTCACAAGTATTCAAATATTTATTTACTGACCCACTGCTACAGCAAAAAGAACTTCATGCATAATGTACTGTTTGACCAATTTTGACCGATCAGTGAGCAAGTTCAGTATTCCCACAGCGCAAGCCCAAAATGACACACATCTTAGGGTATACACGAGCAGCATTACACATACATGAGGTCTACCCTAGCACGCAAAATGAGTCATTTGTCAACCCAGGCCTGTTTGTGGAATTTAATTCCTTTTGAAAGGTATATCATGTCACATTCATTTATATGACAATCCCTACCTTGAAACAATTCTGGATCAACAGAAGAAGTTGAAAAATGAAAAAAATTGATTTGGGGCATTTTACTCAGAAACTCTTTTTCAAATGAAAATTTGACAAATGCCTGAGTTTGCTTGATCGCATCACATATGCCCTTTTTTCCCCAAAAATATACTCCCACAATAATCAAGTTAATTTCTGATGCTCCAGTTCGATACCATATTTGACAACGTGGTGTTTGTATTTCTTAACCTATTTTAAACATCTGAACTGGTTTACTTCGCCAAATACATATAATAAAAAGGAAACACATTTATAAACAAATCAATGGCACACCAAACAGCATTTCTGCAGGAGCTTCATTCAAGGTTATCGGTTGGCTGTGCCTCAGGAATGAGATCAAGGAATAAAGAAAAATCAACAAAACAAGTAATAGAGGGGTTGTCACCATAGCAACAAAATACCTTGACTTTCCAGGGCTTTCAACAGCTTGGAAAGTCTGAGTTTTCTCCCAAATGGCTAGGATTACATGAACCCTGCATGTTTCTCCTTAATCTTTTAAACTAATGATGTGATATTTTAAATCCTCTTATATTTCATTATTCTAATCTAATTCTAGGTTTCATGTGTCTAACAAAAGGAAATCAAAGTGAATCAATCTTTTATTTAAAGGATGAACTTTTATTGTCTTTTTTCTATTACTTTGCACTTTTTGATGACACTTTTATCATTCTCCTTTTTTCTATTGTACCACATACAAGTTGGCCTCTGGGCCAAGACTGTGCTGTACTACAACATATAACCAAAGTTAAATTTGAATTTTTTTTCTTTTTTGATGAGAGCAACACAGTACTTGGCAACATCTGCATGACAAAAAACCCTCCACAATCCTGAGTTTTGGTGAAGCAAAAGGCCTGAAAAATCACACTTCAGGTACCTACTACCCAGAATAAATTCAAAACTTACTGCAGGGGTGCTTCAAAACACCAGTAACTGAAATACTGCCTGCAGGTTTGGGAGTTGATAACAAGCTGTTTCAGATGCTCGTTAGTCATGTACTGGTAGGTAATGTTGAATTCCAGGCTGGGTAGGTGAACATCGCGTACAAGAGTTCTGGGAGCAAAGTTATGCTCAATAGTAGTCTCTGCCTTTCCAGATCTAAAAGGAGAAGAAAATTAACACACAATGCATAAATAAGAATTATAAAGGTTGCTGTTGAAAGTTTTATTTCAAAAATGGCATTTGAATAGAATTAACCAGTAACACCACATGAACCAGAATGTGGTGTGGCAACTTTTGGGTACTTTAACATGAATGCAATACACTATGTATAAGAAAGGGTCATTCATTCTGTTTTCATCTCAAGGTGAGTCAAGCATATGCCAGAGGGAAGCGATAACAGCTTGTGTACCCTTTGTGCAGAATGAAATATGATGACTGCAAGTCCACTAGATATTCTTCTGATGAAGCCCTTGGACTAAAGCCAAATAGCAAGCTGTATTCCAATGAACTGTGCTAAAAGAATCCCTTTGTTGCCATTCATCCTGTTACTTCATTGTGACTGGACATCTAGCTGATTGGACTAGTGCAGAGAGTTGTTACTGGATTTGTGGTAGACTCAACAACAGCTCTCAGTTTGGCAAATATCTTATCAGTATACTAATTAAAAACTGCTTCATCATTGCGTATAACCTGCTGGTTCCTCAGGAATACAGGTTGGTTGCAAAATGGTGGCACTATTTAAAAATGAAACCCCAATTATCACCTGTAAGTGCAGTTGACATAAGTTGCATTCAGTGGCCCTGGTCCATCCAAGTCTAGTACCTTGACTCCAGAATCCTGATCTCCAGAGTGGTACAGGTGGGTACAACTTTCTTTGTACATCGCTTGATGTACAAAGGGAGTACATGGGAGTAGAAATACATTATAAATTAAATATTCATTCAAATAAGAAGAGTTTAATAAGAGGGATTCATGGAGTCAGGAAGAATTAAGGTTGACGGGAGACATGCTTAAGTAAAAATGCCCTAGAGTTTATAGGGAAGGAAAAATGCAATTAAGATTTTTTAAAAACAGTCTGCTAGTATTCTAATTATGCCATAAATTAGAATTTGCATTTCCCAGAGTGACAAGTGAGGGCTTAGCTTTTCACTGTGATCTCGGCATTCAGTATCATCTTATTAGGCCTATTTTGTACATATGCTGTATTGTTACGCTACAGTCCAGTTGCACTGTAAATGAAGAGTTGTAGAAATACCTGGTGTGTGGGAAGTGCTAGAATCCAGGGAACAGTTTCTGGAGAAGACTTGAAAGCCATTAGTTCATAAACAAGGCACTGCTTGTGCTTCACTTAGGAAGTTAAAGAATTTCATCAGAATGACAAGAGCTTGTGAAAAGTCAGCTGTTGGTAAGGTCTACAGGCCTGGTCACATCATCGTCATATTCTAATAATAATACTCACAGTAACTGCACATTGCTCCAACATAACCAGTGCCTTCACAGTTACACCTCGTCCCTCCACTGGCGTGACTGCAAGTCCCTCCGTGTTGACAGACAAACTCACCAGCAGCACACGGATTGGAAACAGGACAGTTGTCCAGTATCACGCCATTAGCTGCAGCAGTACCCAAAACCTGTGTGGCTATGATCTCCTTCTCTTGAAGAACGATGTGACGAACACAGCCCTTTATACCTGATAAATTGAATGAATTCAAATAGAAGAACAATCGCGATGTGTTATCTTTTACAGAGACAGTCAACCACTGGTACTGTGGCACCAAAACACTTTACAGAGATAGAATTAACATTTTTATACTCCTGGTACTACACAGCAAATGCCCTTTGAAAAAAAGAAATTTTTGTACTTGAAGACGAAGGTGGAAGATCTTATGCAAGATTCCTGGAAATACATGGAATGACAAAATAACTTGTATCATCGTTATCCATCTTGCAAAACTTTTCATGTCCTAACTGCTTGTGAAATATTTTGTCCAAGTTCCAAATTCAAATTCAATTTGGAATATTAAATTAAAATTCTCCCCTTCTCACTACAATACAATGCAATTCGCAAACTCTCTTAAATCCATCAAAATATGACCTCTAGTCCCCACTTACATCCCTCAGAATATCCAATCTTGATCACCTGGCATGGGCCCAATCTTGAGGGATTTTATTACTCTCTTTTTGATCAAAGTACATACATATAAGCACATGGATACATTCCCTGATATGGACTATATAAGAACTGACTATTATTATTATTATATTCCAAGATGTGACAGTTATTAACCCCTTGACGTCGGGACTTTTTTCTAAAAGCCGACTCCGAGAATTCCAGCTTAGCTTGACCATGAAGGCCACATGCCAAACCGCAAATTCTCGGTTTGTGGCCCTGTGTGCTCTCCACGCTTTGATTTACGCCGCGAAAAGGCTCATTGTTCGGTGGCATACAACTCTACTCACGCTTCCACATTCCCGTTGCCTCTTTTCAAAGAGGGGACTATCGTGAAGCTGGTGATTATGATGCAAAATCAGCCTTTTCATTTCTGGACTACACACAAAGACCAATTACCATATACACAAGAGCAAGGGTCTGCCTTCTTTCACCGTGTTCGCTTGAGCGTGGGCCGAGAATAATAGCTGAAAAGAGGGCAGAGGGATCTCAATTTTTACAGCGGCTCTCACCACTTCCCGGTGAGAAGGGGTTAATAAAGTGAACACGGGCAGTGATCACCGTGTGCTACTTTGCAAGATAAAGATAAATTTTACTAGACTGGAAAGAATTAAATTGATGAAAACAAAATGCAAGAAAGTAAATCAAGAAAACCTAGCAGTGAAGAAAGAGACTTTCCAACTTGAGCTTCAAAATAACTTCGAGGTTCTAAAGGTAGAAGATGACGACCTGGACAAATGGAACAGTGAGTTTGTCAAAATTCTGCATGAGAGTGCTCTTGAGACAGCAAGGGAGGAAAAGATGAAACAAGAATATAAAACCTATCGGATATTACCAAAATGCTCACAGAGAACAGGAGAAACATGGAGAGGGATTGAATTAGAACCCAAAATGTGGAGTATATCAAAACATGTAAAACAGAAAGAAAATTACAGAAGATATCAGAAAATACAACACCCATCAGATTAGAGACTATAGAGAATAACAGGAGCCTGAAGAGGGTTAAAAAACAACAGGAAAACAGAAGGTTACAGTGTTACTGGACAGGGAGGGCAAGGAAAAGGGATCAAGACCTAATTACTCAGAGGATTGAGGAGTTTTATGAAGAGCTCATCCATAGTGAACAAACAGCTGAATTGTATATAGAAAGGGGCTGCAGAAGAAATACCAGATAGGTTGGGGGTCAAGTATGCACCTCAACACATGAAGAGAGGGAAAGCTCCAGGATCAGACAAAAATCTAATTGATACTCTAAAGGAAAGGGAGGATGTCATCACAGAAGAACTAGCAAAGCAATTTAAAGGAAAAGTTACAGCTGAATGGAAGGAGGCAAACATAATCATACTTTACAAGGCGGGAGATAAGAAAGACCTAAAGAACTACAGAGCAAACAGTTAGCTTTCAAATAACTACAAACTTTTCACCAGAATTTTGATCACTAGACTGGAAAATATACTGGACAGCAACCAACCGAGAAAATAAGCAGGTTGCAGAAGCAGTTACTCAACTCCATGTATCAACCACATTCATACCATAAGCCAGCTCACAGAGAAATGTCAGGAATACAATAAACCTCTGGGCATGTCTTTCATCGACTATGAGAAAGCCTTCGACTCATCAGTTGAAACAAAGTCAGTATTAGAGGCATTAAAGCAACAGGGAATATAAAACTTGAACATCTAGAAGTACTGAAGGATATTTATGCCAACTGCACTATTACAGTCACTCCTCGTAAAAAGGATTAAAATCAAGAAAGGCACCAACATATTCCATTTTCTGAAATGGGATGAAAGAGGAATTAACATCAATGGAGAAGTAATTAACCATCTGAGATTTGCAAACGATATTGTCCTTATAAGAGAGAGCCTAAGTGAAATACAGGAAATGCTCTACCTTGCAGATGCCAGCAAATGATGAGGACTGAAAATGAACATGATGAAAACAAAGACAATGAGAAACACACTAGAGCTAAAAAGATCTGTCAAAATCAATGAAAACACAATTTCAGAAGTCGATGAATACATCTACTGTAACGGTTCCTGGGACTCTGGAGGAAGGAAAACAGGGACAAAGATTTCGTCAGAATGAAAAGGGTCAATATAAAGACGTTCAAAGAAGGATTAAATTGGGTTGGTGCCAAAATGGAAAGTTGAGTAACATCACGAGAGGAGATATTCCATTATGCCTGAAAAGGAAGGAGTTTGAACAGTGCATAATTCCATCAAAGACCTATGGAGCAGAAACCTGGGCACTGACAGCCAAATTGAAAGAGCAAATAGCTGCAGCACAACATGACATACAGAGGAATATGCTTGGTGTACATATAAAGATAGAAAGACAAATGACTGGGTAACAGAACAAACCACAATTCAAAACAATTTGGGAATCCTTAAATACAGTAAGTGGCGATGGGCAGGACACCTGAGTAGGAGAAAAGATAACAGATGCAGCTCAATCATAACATCATGGAGACCTACATGTATGGACGGCAAAAGGAACAGAGGCAGACAGAGAGCGAGCTGGCGAGATGACCTACATGTAGACAGATATTGGGGTACTATCCATTAGAGACAGGGTAAATTGGCACTGGCATGCTGAGGCTTTGGTCCAGCAATGGACAGATAACAGCTAACGATGATGATCGATGATGATGAATAGAACTGAATTATTTTCAGATGGTTTCACCCGGTTATCCTACCCACATTTTTTCTTCAAAATATCCTGCCTGACTGAATTCAACTTTGAATACTTCACGTGACTACAATCCATAGTACTGACCTGTTCCTTGTCCTCTCCATCCTCCTCCTAGATACAGCGAGGAGCTTGCTGATAACTGGTGGGAATATGTAAACTCCAAATTCCTACCATCCACTACAAATGAGCAGACCCTGCAACAAATCACAAGATAGCATTTCAAGCAGGTGGATATGAACTAAATGCTTTACATGTATCCCTGCAATAAACCTCGACTCCCAGTACTCTCAATAACATACCATTGGCCATTATCCTAAGCAACTGGCAAGGGCAATATTGCATTAATTACCACAGCACAAAAAGACAACAACCAGTGTTTTATATTGTAAGGTACCTGGTTATCCATCTCTTGTTAATGCACAGTTCCAGTTTTTTTTATTCACTCACCCATCTCTAAGATGAAGTGCCACTCTATGCCATCTTGTATCATTAACGCCAGGGCTGGTCTTGAGTGTAGTGCGTGACAAACGTTGTCCAGGAGCTGTGCCGATATCCAGGTGTAAAAGTAGGGCTGTATCAATCAGCTCCATCTTAAAAAGGTTTGAAAAAGTCAAAGTTTTGAATATGTGTATTGATGAAATGCAGTCATGTGCAAAAGAAGGTTGTAAACACATATTGTATTGTCCACTTATTTTGAATACCAGGCACATGTTCAACTGACACAAGCCTTTTTGCATATTACATTGTGTTCAAAAGTAACTGGTAATTGAATCAGACCTGGCATACACACTTTACCAACTCATTTCCAAAGCAAGAGACTCTAGTGACCCTTAAAGACTACTTCAATGACATTCTTGGTGAAAAAAGGTTCAAATTCTTTAAAATATACATTTGAAATGCTTGCTCTAGATTTTGCAATATGCATGTATGATTTGAGTTACACTTCACCACTGCCTGTCATGTGCATGTACAATGCATGTGTAGTTTAATTCTGGAAAAGAACTGTCACTGAATTGGCAGAGTTGTCACCTGAAGAATGAAAATGTGCGAAATTATTTTTAGTCAACTTTCCAACATTTAATAACCTTTATTTTACTTTGGCAACATTTGACAACAAAGATATAAATACATTTTAAGTCTCAAAAAATAACATGTTTTTCAACTTCAACATGGAATAAATTCCTCGGTAACTGTCTTCACCTATGTTTTGATGGGTTATACACTGTATTTCTCATATGTCAACTCACCCTCAATCTGCCTTCCAACTTCTTGTCGACGTCTAGCAATACCAGCATGACCAGTCCATCACCTTGATCTGTCTTCAGGTCAAACCTGTCAACAAGATACAAATACTACTGCAAGTTTTCCTGAATCTGATTACTAAATATGACATATTTTCACTATCAACTCCACGAAAATCAAAGCTTAGAATTTAGAGTCTGATAGGTTGATCAAAGTGGATTCCCTGGCAACAAAAAATAGCAAGGCTGACTCTCTAAATCAGAGGATATGCATCTCCATGGACATCCACTGAGGATGGGAAACCCTTTGGTCAGTTTGTCCAAAATTACAGTAACACAAAAATTACTAGAACATACAAAAAATGTTCCACTCCATAAACGTTTAATCGTATACTCAGTCAGTGAGAATAGGCCCCCCCCAAAAGTCTCCGGTTTCTGGTCAGCGAGTGCGTCACCATAGACCAGCTCATCAGCAAAATAAGAAAGGGGTTTTTTGGTATAAAACGATGTCCAAAAGCAGCCAAACTTGCTTAATTGACTGAAATCCTGCTACTGTGTAGTTTTAATGTGTTTTTGATGGGGTACAGTTGAGTAATATGTACAGTAAAGTAGTTCCTATACACTGAGTCGAGCACTCTTTTTCAGATGACATCATTTCAGTATTATTCATTTACATTTGGGAACCAGACAAATGAGGTGGTCTTATGTCCTGTGTACATGTACAAGCTGAAAATGCTATTAAGCAGTAAAAGTGCGGGACCCAGTCTATTTTAGTGTTGGTAGAGGCCAGAGTTACGTGCGCATGCAGTCGCAATGGACATCGAGCGTTATCGTACATTATTTCCAGAAAAAAAGTGAGGGGCAAAAAAGTGTTGCAGCACCACTTTTGGAGCCAGAAATTGAAGACTTTTGGGGGGCCTAATGGCTGCACCATTGAAATTACCAAAATGTTCCACTGCACAAGAAAAGGCAGAGAGGAATGGAACATGCCATTGGCCACATCATGAAATTTGTTTTGTTTTACACTACACCAGCTAAAAAACAGAATATATCACAGCATCACAGGTACTCACGGGTTCAGAATTTCCCTTTGACTACTAAATATTTTGCAACATTTAATCTTCCACCAAACGAAATTATTCTTTCTACTGTGAAAACATTGTTCATTTGATACAACACGTGAATAAATCCTGTTTATATACAAGCTGCTGTTTACTGTCTCAGCTTGAAGTAAAAGGGGTGCACAAAGTTTTCCAAGCCTTAATTGAAATTTTGTCTGAGTTAAAGAGCTGTAACTGTGCCTGTTACATGCGTGTGCAGTCCAGCGGTATATTTAGAGGGTCGCACCACTGAAATTATGGTATAAATCAATTGAAAGTGATCAATAACATATACACCAAATAGAAGTGACAGAGATTTATTCCAGTGATGTAAATAATGCAATGACATGTTATTGAAATCTACCAATGAGATAACAGGGACTGATCCAGGCACTGTGTGAATGACTAATTACATGATATTCAGGCTTCCATTCTTCCATCCATCCAGGATAAGATTGGACTGATGAGATGGGAATGTTATGGGTGGATAGCCAACCGGTCGACACTGCTTGACAGGATCTCCACCATGGAACCTCACCCCAGAAATATTCATATACAGTGCTTCAAGGACATTGTATCTGTCAATATAGATCTCTCGTAAGCAGCCAACAAAATTGGCTGGTTCATCAAGACCTGCGGAGGAGTAGGAGAAAAAAAAAGACACACTCAAGATGGGAAACAATCTGGAAATCCTGAGGCAAACTCCTTTTTTTCCAAAATCTGAAAGTCCAGAAGATTCTGAAAGAAATCTCAGCCCAAGAGAGATCAACCAAGGTACCACCACACTACATGCATTATCTTAACAGGTCAATATGATATCATCCCTCTGTTCATTACTTGCTGCTGGATCCCATTGTATTCTCCATAGACTTGTTCCAGTAAAAATCTGTTGGATCGGGGGTCGCAGGTTCAAATCCCATTCAATTTCTTTGTTCCTCTTTACAACTAGTCAGTTTTTTATTTAATGGTTCAGTTGATGACTTGTGTTTAAAAAGCCATTTTCTCTTGAGCATCCCCATTCTTTCACTTTCCAGGTTCCATTATTTGTGTGGGGCGTGATCACTGGCTATACCTGTTTGCATTCTGACTGGCAGCCCCCAAAAGATATTGACAAATAGGAAAAACCACCAACTGTAGCGCTGAGTAATTCAGTGGAAGAGCGACAGTACGGTGTCCCGGAAGTCAAATAATAGGTACAAATCCTGCTCCAGTCAATTTCTTTGTGCCTCTTTATACTTGAAATCTATTACTCAACATGCAAGTAACAGTGAACTTAGCTGGGCACTATTGGAGTCAACAAGTCACTACAAGAAGACATATAGGTCACTGAGGAACTGAATTAATGCCGAGTACGTTGGACTCAGCCAATAACAATTAACTGTGCACTGCAGTTGATCTGTGTTTCTGTTGGATTTGTCTTTTGGCAACAGGAAAGTAAGACATAATTGAATTCTAATCATTTTTACATGTCACCGGCAACTCCGACTTTTGGATTGTGAGAGGGAAACTCACAGAAGTCACTGTCTGATTCTAGCAAGGAAGTCCAAGTCACCCAGATTTGTGAGTAATTACCTGGGTATCCATTCAGGTTCTGACCACCACCTATCAGTGCTGGACCTCCAAAATGGAAGAGACCAGTCCCATCAGCTACCTCCTGATGGTAGCTCCGCCCATCCAGCTGAACCTCCAAGTTCTTGCCATTGTGGATGAAGGTCACATAGTGCCATCTTACCAGTTACACAGACATGAAAGTAAAAAAGATCAAAATCACGATGGGAATGTCATAAATCACAATAATGAGTTAGAACACACAACTTACAGTGTACATTGGAATAACTTGGGCGTTGGAACAACATGTCTATGCCTGGAGTGTTGTTTCTTGCACAGCTAGTATTTGCATGACTGAAACTGTTATACAGGTAAAAATTCTCTCAAAAGAATTACACTTTGAAATGGACAGCGTATAGATTAACAAAGTGTATGTTTACCACCTGGCTCTTTGAGGGATTCCAACTTGTTGAAATATTATCAAAATAAAGACACAATTCAATAATAGAGATGAAATATAGAGAGAACTGTGTAGATTTTGGGAAGCAGTAGTGTTGCTTGGTATTGTCAAATAAAATATGCACAAAATACTATAAATGGTTTACGCAATTCCTATGTAGATACACGTTTTACTTTACAACGTTCTGTTCTCTTTGGGAAAAACAGGTTTTGTGTTCCCAACTGACAGTTTCAATAAAGCGAATGCACACATAATTTATTGCTTTTGTAAGAATTCGGAAGGCTTGTTCATGATCCAAAACACTCTTCTGTCTCCAGAAAGGTGGTCTCAATGTACATCGTAATTTATTCCGATATTTGAAACATTGAACAAGGCTGACACTTTTGATGTTACCTTCAGTAAACCTCACCTGTCATCATTAACAGCAGGTTGGCCTTCAAACTGGAAGGTATTGAGAGAGCTACCCAGTTTGACGTTCACCACTAAACGACCCTTCTTCAAGGAAACAGTTAAGTAGGTCTGAACGGGCACTACCCCACTGGCATATAACAATGTCCCAACTAGTTGTTCTCTTCCCACCTACATGGATAACCAGGAAAAGCCAAACAAAATATTTCTAACAACCGTCACAAGTCCTACACTATTAAGGCCAGTTCATACTTCAAGGAAATGCAAAGGTAAACTCACTGAACTTGAAAACTCTTTGGACAGAGTTCATTTGAACAATGACAGGGTTCAAAACATCCACATTTGTTGGCAAGTGTACACTCAGACTGAATGTATGTATTGATTAGGAAAGCAAGTAACCCACGATGTTTGTACATCGGTAACTGTGTCACGTTTCCTTCTCAAGACTTTGTGAAATGTATTTGCCCTTCCCAGCACCCTGCAAGGGTGATGGGAGGGAGTAAAAATATTATTGACCACCGTGTGGTCACAATGAGTAATACCTGCCTGGTATCCAGCTTCCATGTATGCAACAAATATACACAAAGTCTGTTGTAAACCATAGTTTCAGCAGTATACTGGCGCATAGAATTGCAGTGAAGAGAATTTATGTCTGCTCTGCATTTGGGGTTTCTCCTTACATGTATGCTCCCACTGCAATCATCCACCACAAAGTCATGAATGGAAGCATGATATACATGTAGGTGCAAAATCTATGATGAACAAGAATGTACTTAGTTGACAACTCAGCATTTGCAGACATGCTCCATAAACTCTGTGTAACTTTGGCCTGTGCCACGCTTTGTGGCATGCAAGAATCATAGTTGTGATTGTACTGTTGACAGGTTGCTTACGTTTGACAACATGCTACCAATCACTGTTTAAGGAATCACAACTATTTCTTACAGGATTTTCATGGGCTGTGTGTGCTGAAAGTAAATTCTTAATTTCGATAGATATCTTTGGGACTGCTCTGGCACAGGTCTAACTAAGCAAGAAAACCAAGCAACTTTAATTACTTCTCTTCATTTGACCCGAAGCAAAGGTATTTATTTGTCCTTATTTGTTCTTGGTAAGCAAATTAAACACACTAAGATGCATAAGGGGGTGCCCTTGACCTCTAAAATGGCAACAGTGCATCAGACACATTGGTCCTTCATGACCGTCACAGCTACATTCAGTACAAACGTGTACTACGTGTATATCTTCATTTCTTTAGGCGTCATCCCCAAATTGACTAAGCGTTCCACAACGCGGACATTTCACGGAATCACAGAGAGCACGCTTGTGCCTGCCAAACAAAAGAGCCGTTAGCAACCTGGCAGCTCCACGGACGGAATGCAATATGCAAGCTTTATGCAAATTACGAACCTCATGAATACGCCCGATCGTCTGCGTATCGGCCGGCAATCTTTGGCAAAGCAAATCCCTTGGAATTAGCATGTGGCCGAGTTTCCACTGACCGACCGGTCGACGTCCAGTTAGAATAAGATCAGCCGCCAACTTAAAAACCAACAAGGTTTTTTTTGTCTTAAGTCGGCAAGTTGCCCTGGTGGGAATTCTGAAATGGATGCATATGTTTAGGTACTGTGCAGGATTTGCATGTACTGCACTTTGCCAAAATTGACCATTTTGGGGTTTGTGACTTTACTTTATGTATCATTCAAGGGACTGTTTCAACTTTTGAGTACACAGCTCTGAGAAAAATCGAGAAAAATGCTGTTCTTTTTTACAATCGGAGGGCAACTCGTTTAAGTTTGTCTTGCAAAACACAATGGACCTCAGGACGTTCCGGCCTGCCAGGACAGTTCGATCTGGCCCTTAAGAAGGAAATTCTTTTTCCTTTGCTTTTCATGGTAATTGTGGTTGGCGAATTTACCTTCAACTTTGTGTTTCGTCTTCAAAAATGCAACACTGAAAATTGTCAAACAACGATTCATCCTTCAGTGAGTTGACTGCTGCAGTACCACGGTGACTTCGCAACCACACGTACCGTACATGTAATGTACACGTGCACAATTGACTACGTTCATGTACATGTACAGTTCGCTTTCAGGGCGGAAAGCTGTCTGACAATCATAAAATAAGTCACAGCATACAAACATGCTGCCCTCAGAACAATTACTAGGTTTGTTCCGAGTTTAAAGTTTTAGGAGCATGAGATATACCTAGAAACACCCAGTCATGTGGAGGAACGAAGAAAAGGGACCAGTGGCTAGACCACCTTTCAAGAGGGACAGCTAGTGCTGCAGCCAGATCAAGCCCAAAATTATAGAACATGGCACTTTCGAACAAAACCAAACCTAACCACACATGCACTGGTCGGTTTGGATGTTTGGCTTTGACATGGCATGGTATTGATAGCAAACACAATGAGGGGGAAAAAAACAAGATTTTGCCAGGCGGAGCATACCAGCACTTCTGCGTGCGACGAGAGTGGGAGGACACGGGCCTAATAGGCCTAATCTTTCCTTTCATTTGGTCAAAATTGTAGTATTTATATGTTGTGATAGAATTTTGCCAGATCTCTAAGTTGTCTGCAGATTTAAAATAAAATGCCGTTATCCATTCGAAAAAAGACCGATGGAAAATTCAAAATTGCAACTTGGTCACCCTCCTAGAAAAGAATGCTGTCTTGATACCAAGGTCCTTCAAATATATCAAATGCCACGTACAGTGTGGTAGTTGTATCTATTTTGTGAAAAAAAAATAACCAGAACACAATTCACTGGAAATCCAGTTTGATTTTATATCCTGTAAAGTAGGAAATTCCTGTTTGAGCATACTGTTTGCTGTTTTCACATATCCTACAATCCTTCTGTTGAGTCAAGTCTGGTATAAACATAACCGTTTGGGTCAACAAACTCATTCCGAAAATGTCACACCGTTTGGGTCAGCAAACTCATTCGGAAAATGTCACACCGTTTGGGTCAGCAAACTCGTTCGGAAAATGTCACACCGCCTCTGAAGATAATATTCCATGGAATTGTAATGCCTCAATAAACTTTGGAAAAACAAAAACAAAATCTAAGTTGCTCATGGATATGGGATGAAAAACAAGATTCAATAATAGTATTAATGTATCATTTATACACTGAAGTACTATGGCACGAGCTCCCAATATGTCTCAGTTTGCACTGACCATTGCACATGCATGTGTACAAAAACATGTACGTGTACGTATACACATGCATGCACATGTCCCAACAGGAACCGAAGTTTGGCAAAACATTTCTTAACGACTGTAACGACACCATCGTCTTTAATAAATGTTGAAACTGAAAAAGGGGGAACATCTTCTCAGCAGGACAGCTGTTGGTATTTGTGAGGTCCAGAGAAATCACGCTCATTCATGATGCTTTTTGTCGCCATGACAAAAGGGCACACAGCCTCCCAGCTCATTAAACCCCTCACGCTTCAGCGCACACCTCCGTCGCATCTGCGGATTTCCCCCCTACTTAGCAATGTCAGACAGATCGGAAGAAATACGGACAATACGCGGAAGAATGCTTGGTCACTTTGGGGATGACACCTTAGAGAGCACTCCCACTGGAAGTATATCGATGCTTAAGTTGCAGTTCACATGTATTCCTATAGTACCTTGAAACTCAAGTTGATGTGATTCTTCTCCAATGGTCTTTCGTTACCAGATGAAAAAATGTCATATTCTAGGTAGTTGAAGCCTTGAAATGTCACCATGGCATTTCCTGGATAGTAAACCAATCAAAATGATCAAACTAGAAATTTGACAAAAGTGGAACAGTTAATATTTGAAAATCCACCTCAGTCCTTTCCAATGAAAACTACAAGCAATTTATGTCTTAGCGGTTAGCAAAGTTGCTACATGTGGCAATTTCATATGCAATTTCCAATATCAAAACATTTTCCATTCTAACAATAATCAAGTTAATTTTTTTTTAAATTTGAACAGCAACCAACTTCATTAACTCCAAAAAAACTAAGAAAAACTTTTACTGCTAAATCATTTGAAAGCTATGGTGAATTAGGCCAGTGCTAAACTGTAAATTTGTAAGTACCATAGAAAGCTACCTTAACAAGCCAACAAAGTGAAGTGGACCCTGAATCATGACAACAAATGTCTGCTTCTATGTCTGTTGTTGCTCTCAGTTAAAATTAAGATTGATCCACCCATAAAAGGGCAGATTTCCTTGGGGAGATTTTGTACCACCAAATACACGCCCATTTGCTGCCTAATTCTTATGTGGTATGCATGTAAACATATCCATCATGAAATTTAAATTTAATTCAGTTGATAATAGAGTTTTGTTTTTGTTAGTCGTAATTCACACTCTCACAAGAGGCCCATCTTTCTTTAAAAGTGCATTTTGCAAGAACGGTATGCTCAGTTTTCATTCAATTGGTGTAAAAAATCCAGCAAACTGAGCAAGATTTTTTAAATGCACAGCGCTAATATCAGAGAAGATACATGAACACAGGGTATTCTACCTCCCAGCCCCGCCACTTAAAGGGCAATTCCCAACAAGTGGCTGGTACAGGTATTTGAAAACCTCCAAATATGAGAGATTTGCTTTCTGATTCTGTGATTGTTTTAAGTCTAAAAGTTGAATCTTTTCACCTTTTCAACATGGATTGTTTTTCATTGCCATGTGAAAGGGATGGTCACTGAGTACCAGGTACAAGGGGTCTTTTAGAAAAACTACAAAAAGGTGGGAACAGAAATTTTATGTCCGGATTCAAAGGTACATGCATTTAAACATTAAAACAGCTCTCATCAGTGGTGATGAAACGGCAATTTAATAGAGCTATCAAATACTTCACAAATTATTCTTGTTTCAATTAATGCATATGAGCCCCATTTTTCAAATTTAGGACAGAAACCATTAAAGATTGTACATACATGTAAACATGGCACTGTCTTGTGTTTGTCCTTCCAGGGAGGATTTCAGTATGTGATCCCAAATACCACTTTTTTGACTTTGCTACATACATTTATTTATTATAGAGTCTGTTATTAACCTTTCCATCCTAATATGACAGTTAAGAAAAATTTGGAAGGCAGAGTGGCACCCACCTGGAATTTCACACTTATGACCATGGTAACCTGACTCAAAGCAGTCGCAATATGTACTGGCGTATGAGTTGATGCAACGACCATTCAAGCATGGCATTTCTGATGCACACAGATCTACACAGCCGGGAACAGTTCCCTCTGCAGCAAATGAAGAGAAAAGAATGTTTTCAATGGCACACCGATTAAAAAATACATTCAACCATATCGACTAAATTTCCAAAGGGTTGCGGGTGGCCTGCCTATGAAATATAGTTGACCATCCCATGAAAAAGAAAATCATAGGTGCTTGGCAATTTAGTCTTTAAGGAATAACATGTTGAAACATTTGGACATTAATCAAAAGAAGTTTGCATTAATACTTAAATTTCAAGTAAAACACAAAAAAGGATGACTGAGGTAACTCCTACTTCTTGAATCACCTTCATAATATTACTTTGATTAAATAACTGGTTATGGAAGTGTGCAATTCATTTTGTAAACATCATTCCAACTATAACTGTCTCATGTGTGTTCAATTTTCTGAAGAGATATTTCAAAATATGAGCAAAATAAAAAAATCATCCTCCCAATATCCAGTTAGAAACATCTTAGTTGTTAATCTCCCAAGAATTTCACCTCCCAAAATGCCAAGACTCACATATGGTTTTCATAGGATGACTACACAGTACATGTACGTGATCTACCATGTGCTGCTATATGTGAACGCATATGATGATGCTCTGTCATAGTATTTTAATTAATAAGTTGTTGCATGAAATTACTTAGGGACATATGCATCCATTTATCACCAAAATACATGTAAAAACATACATGTACTGTGATATAAATGAGAAAAAAAGGATAAGAAATGACGACTGCTGTCTTATGAACTCTAGCTGGGGTAGTGTGTAGTGTAAGCCTCCTCACCTTGCATAGTGTAGTTCATGTGGTTCCAGGATTCCATGCCATCAGTCAGAAAGTATATGCTGTCCATACATCCAGTTAAATGATGGAAATCCTTAGGTGCCATGGCAGATGAGCTTGGGTTTAGACCTACATTGTCAATCAATTTACCATGGTGAGCAATCATATCTCACTTTGTAATTGATAGAAACTACAGAGGACAATGATCATTGGGATGTCTATATCAGTAGCAACCTTCAATGCTTTAGCACTTCCAACCGTAATCCAATGTATGGTTTTATGATACCGGTGTTCCATAATTTCACAAAGGCCAAAAATAAAAAGTCCTCTTGTCCTGCACTTCTGCCCAGTGTTATGAAAGACACAATGTTAAACAGAAGCTCGTTTTTGTGTTCAATAATAGATTCAGGAAATTATCACATGCACGTTCACACGTACACTAATTGGATACGTTGAATATGAATCAAGAACCGTGAATGGCAGAAACAAGTAGAAAAAGTTTAGCATGAAGTGTCAATGCAAAATTAACAAACACTCTCCCGTCAAATATTTGACACAGGTGTCACCAGTGTCTACAGAAAGCAATTTATTATTCTGTTTGCGATAAGAAAAGCACGCATGGATTCCTCACAAAACAAAACAGGCTACACTGAAATTCACGTAAAATTGGATTTCAACAGGAGTAACTTTAAGGTTTTTGGAGAAACTGCAATTTATAAAATACAGCTGGAACCATGACAGTTCACAGTGCACATAGTACCTCCAAAGAACACGGCAGATAGTGAATCTAGGTTCTGTTGCCATTCAATGACAGCATCAGTCTGATACAAGCTCAGACCAACTGTTGTAGAATCGACACTGATCAACAAATCTCCCTCCATTGGTGTCTTAGTGTAGTTGACGGTGTGCCATTGGTCATCATTTAGTTTGTCTTTCAAAGAGAACCTAGAACAAAAGATTCACAGAATTGGAAGACAAATGGTCAATTTCAAAGAAGAGCATACATTTCAAATGCACATTAGTTCTGACAAATAGT